GTAGTAGAATTGCGAGGAGGTCTCCGTGGTGTACAGTAGAGCTTGTATTGTCTTTTACGTCATTTTTATCACCTCAGACATAGATGTGTCTGATTGACATTGGCCGCAGTGAATCACGGCTTTGGTTGCAGTGCTCATTTCTGTGCAGAACTCCGGGAGGTGCACCGTGGTCAGGATGGAGTTTGGCGGCCATGCAGGCAGCACCCCCTGCGGGCCCGGACGGCACTGTGCCCCCGCCCCGCCCAAAGCGGTTCGTGCCCGGCCGCAGCCCCGGCTTCGCTTCCCGTGTGCCCACGGCGCAGTAATAAACCGCCGCGTCGCCTAGCCGGGGCTGGGCGAGCCACAGGGCGCTGGAGCGGCGGTCTGCCGACACCGACAGCCGCCCCTCCGGGTCCGGCACCTCCTTGGAGCCCTTCAAGGCGCTCGTAATGAATGCGGGGCCTCGGCCCGGGAGCTGACGGTACCAGTGGATGTGATCAGAAGACTGGATGTTGGGGTGTGAGCAGGTGATGTTGATGCCGGTGCCCTCGCTGGTCTCTGCCGCCGGCTCCTGCTGCACCTGGGCTCTGCTCACAGCCACTGCCGAGAAGAAAAGAAGCAGCAAACTCACAAAATCCATTTTTTTTCCCACTGAAATTTCATGCAGGAGCAGAGGGAGCTGCACGAGTTGGGAAAGAAGCCAAGAGTCAAGAGGCGGGCGCGGCTCCGGCCCCCCACAGCTCCCGCAGTCCTGGCCCCGCCGGCTGCAGCCCCGCGCACCCAGGAGCACCGCGGCCAGCCCCGCCAGCCCCGCGGCCCGGCACTGCCGCACCCGCCGCTCCGCCGCCCGCGCCGCGCCGCGTCACTCCACGCTGCCCCCGCCCGCTCCGGCTCTGCTCCGCCCGCGGCTCCTCCTTCCCGCCGCCGCCGCCAGCTCCGCCCCGGGGCTGCTCCAAACCACGTCGCGGTCTTTAGGATGTCTCATAAGTGCTTCTAAAATCATCTGCTCCAAAACTCATAGTTGAGGAAATAAGAGATGAAGTCTATTTGACCTACAGTTCCCTCTGTCTCCTTATTTCTCACTCTAACGATCTCTTTGATGCCATTTTTCTTTCCTAGCTGCAAACGCCATCCTTCAGCTCTCACCCCTGAGAGCTGACAGAGAGAAGCATCTCAATGACATCACTCAATGAAAGCCCTTGGATGCCTCCAAATCCTTCTCAAGGGCACAAGTGAATTCAACCGGATTGACTTTTTCTTCCTTTATAGAGAGTAATACAGAATTTCCATGGATTTTGTGAAAGGATCTTGGGGGCCTTGTTGTTCTGACTGGAAGTCTTCTCATGAAAAAAAGAGGAAAAAGAAGGGTAATTTACATTAGATATTCTCATTTTCTTTCTTTTCTCATGTTCCAACGGACATATAATCTGCTTAGCTTTCTTTTTGCTGCCACAGTGGACTTCAGAACATTTTTTTCATTATTGTTCCCAGCCACTTCTGATGAGCCCCCCCAATGGATCAGTTTTCTACTTTACAGTACGGGCTGTTCCTCTTCTGAAGCTGCATGTCTGTGACTAAAGGAAGAGCGTTTTTCTTGTTCCAGGATATCACCATCTTCCAGCCTCAACAATCCCGACTTCCTCTCTAAACAGCATGTTTGCCATGGCCACCACATGCTGTTCCTTTCTTCCTTTGTACTGTTGAGGCTCTAGCCTTAGACTGGGGACACCCTTGAAGTACAGCTGAACACCTGAGAAGCACAGATATCCTGAAGGGATCTGGGTGTGCTGGCTGACTTCAGACTCAGCATGAGCCCACATTGTGCCCTGGCATCCAAAACATCCAACTGAATTTCAGAATGCTGTGAGAATTCTTCTTTGTCTTTTTTTGGCTCAAAACTTGCTTCCTGAGGTATTTCTTGTGATAAGACTCTGATTTACTGAGGAGGCACATGATGGGTGCTACTGTGTGACAATCGACATCACTTGTGGACATTTGAAAGCCACTTCCTCCAGAGCT